AGTCTGGGACTCACACACCAGCAGCCCCCAGAGCCGATAACCCGCCGTTTGCTCCGCCACCAACCCCCCAGCCCCGCTCTGACGGCGCAATGGGCCGGTTTGACTCTTCTGGACCCCGCAGGAGGCCGCAGGCGGGCGGTGGGTGGAGGGGGCTGATAAGCAGGAGGAAGGAACCGCCTGGTTTCTCCTGCGTCACGGCACTGCGGGGAGGGCGGCTGGGGTCGGGGACTCTCGCTTGGCAGAGCCCCGACGACAGAGCGCACCCGAGAAGGCGGTGCTGGAGGTGCAACAAGCCCTGACGCTCGCAGTAAGACAGCAGGCCGAGGGGAAACTCGGTATTAAAGCACAGGGGGGCTGGAAAGCCCTCTGGGGTCCTTCCCAATTTGAACACGCTTGATCTACCCGGGCAGGCTAAAAATGGAAATCGCCACAGGAAAACCTGGATGGATTCCACCCGAATTTCCCGCGTGCTACTCGCCACGTCACGCTCCGCGATCCCAGGCCAGGCTCCCAAAGAATGAAGCTGCCAAAGCTCAGCGAAACCTCTCAGGTGCGACTGAAAAACGGCGGTACCAAACGCCAGGCTCCACGACAAGAGACTCCGGCGACCAGGGAGGAGGCGACACCAGCAAACGGGCGATGGCGAGTCGGGGGGTGGCACGGCCGCAGGCCTTGGGCAGCCCGGGAGCCCCCCCCGAGTTGTGCTTACGTGACGTGACCGCGAAGGCTGCACGCTGTCCGCCTCTTCCATCCCCACGCCTGTGAAAACACCGCACGGCTAAAGGCTCTCCCCGTACAGAGAATGGGGGGGTGGGGGGGGGAAGAAAAGGCATATTTTTCACCCCCCAAAAAAGAAATCGTATAAAAAACCCCCACCTTTAAAAAGATACACTGTCCACCACCCAGGCTACAAGTAAATACACATTTACGGTGTTACACCACATGATCCGTTACGCTGTTCCAACACACACACACATAACTCCAGTTTAAAAGAGGCCACAGACTAACTTTTCAGGCAAGTGCTGGACTTGAGACACCTGTATGGCTTCTGCAAATGTTTTCCTACAAAAAGGAAAAAAATAATAATAAAAAAAAACCCCACAAACCAACCCCAAACCAAACCCCAAACAAAAACCGTCCCCAAACTCAGGAGCACAAAAGGGGTTTTGCTTCGTGCGGAGAGTTTCGCTGTGGAGCGCTAAGGACAGGGGACGTTCCCGAATCCTACCCACCAGACCCAGCTACTTTCCCACTGGAATGCAACGATTTCAGGAGCTCAGTTTTAAGGATCACTTCTTTGAAACGGTCCGTAAAAAGCGTAGGATGCCACCTTTGACAGGGCACCTCAGCGGGGCGCGGGGGTTTGGTTGGAAGCTCTAGTTGTGCTTTGCCCGGCCGCCTCGCAGGTAGCTCTTCCACCTCTTGACGAACTCTTTGAAGATGGGGGACTCGTCTATGGTGCTGAGGAGCTGGAGCTGGTTGATGTGGGTGGTGTGATAGTCCCACCGGGCCAGGTTGGGAGCAGTGCCGAGCATGAAGTGCCGAAGGTCGTAGATGGTCCCTGAGCCGGTGTCGTAGAGGGGGAGCATGGCCTTCAGGGACTCCATGCCCCGCTCGTAGAGGACCCGCGCCTCCTTGCCCAGCTTCTCCCCGGCCGTCTCCTTGAGGTCATAGAGCCCGATCAAGGAGTACATGAAACCGTTGAGCACGAAGGAGCTGGGCGAGGTCGGGTACTCCTCGTACCAGTCGTGCCGGTTCATGAAGACGGCCTTCACCCCGCGCTGCTCCGCCGGCAGCTTGTAGGGCGCCGTCGCCCGCAGGGCCGCGCTGAGGAACGCGTGGTCCTTCGTCAGCAGGTAGGCCCGCACCAGCGTCGAGATGGCCTGCCCTTGCGCCATGGCCGAGTACCAGCCTGGGTCCAAGGACTTAAAGCCTTCCCCCAGCTTCCTCGTCACCATGATGGGCCAACCGCCCCTCTCGTCCTGGTTCCTCACCAACCAGTTGCTGGCGGCAAAGAAAGCCGCCATGTGAGCGGTGGCCGAGATGGTGACGTTGTCGAGGAAGCCTCTTCCCTTCGCCACCAGCCTCACCACTCGCTTGGGCATGATTTTGGTCTGCTTCACGGCTTTCGTGTTGGAGAGGCCGACGCCCTTCCGCAGGTCGGTCACCAGGTCTCTGGTGAGGGTGCTCCAGCTAGTCCTGGGACCGATGCCGTAGTAGATGTCCCGGTCCTTAAAAGCGATGAGCTGGGTGTTGGAGACGTAGTGCACGGTGAAGAGCTGGTTCTTCTCCGTCGTCTCCAGAACCACGGAAACGCTCCCGTTCGTTACGAATTTGAGATCGAAAGAAATAATAAAGTCTCGGGCGTTGCCAAGCTGCAGAGATACCCCCTCGGTATTTTCTGCAAAACAAACCAAA